CTTCGCAGATTAAGAATCTCAAATCACTTTTCGAGTGCTTCCTGAAATAATCGAGAAAAATTAGAACAAAATTTTTAAAAATTTCCAAAAATATTTTTTGAAAAACCTGAAAGTTGTTTTATTCACGCGAAAGAAAACGATAATGTGGAGGGAATTCTTCACAATTTGAGAATTTGTAATCGCTTTTCGAGTACTAATTACTAACCCAGAAAAATGAGAAAAGTTTTCAAAAATTTCCAAAAATTATTTTTGAAAATGATGAAGATAGTTTTGTTCGTGTGAAGAAAAATCCTAGTACTAGAAAATTTTTGCCCGAACAGGAATCTAAAGTCACTTTGCTACTCCTTGTATTCAAAGGTCTAAAAAAAATTAAACAAAAATTTCCAAAAATATTTCAAAAACCTGAACGTAACTATTCACGCGAAAAGAAACGATAATATGTAGGGAATTCTTCACAATTTAAGTATCCGAAATAGATTTTCGAGTACTTATCAACATGACCGAGAAAAATGAGGACAAATTATTCAAAAATTTCCAAACATTTTTTTGAAAAATGCCGAGGGTAGTTCTGTTGTGCGGAGAAAAATGCTAGTATGTAGAGATTTTTTTCCAGAACAAGAATCTGAAGCCACTGTTCTAGTGGTTGTATTCAAAAAACAAAAAAATTGAACCAAAATTTCCAAAAATATGTTTTGAAAATTCCGAATGTGACTCTCCACGTGAAGTTGAGTGGTAATATGTTGGAAATTTTTCACAGATAAAGAATCTGAAATCGCCTTTCCAATACATATTGAAATAACCTAGAAAAGTGGGAACAAAGTTTTCAAAAATTATTTTTGAAAATGTTGAAGGTTTTCCTGTTCGTGCAGTGAAAAATGATAGAATGTTCCCAGAATAAGAATCTCAAGTCAATTGGCCAGTAGTTGTATTCAAACAACTCAAAAAAGGAGCAAAATTTCCAAAAAATGTTTCAAAAAATCTGAATGTGGTTCCATTCACCCGAAATTAAGTGGAAATTTGTAGCAAATGCTTTATAGATGAAGAATCTGTAATAACATTTCCAATACGTACTGAAATAACCGAGAAAAATGTGAATAAAATTTTCAAAAATTTCCAAAAATAATTTTTGAAAATGTTGAAGGTTGTTCTGTTAGTACAGAGAAAAATGCTAGTATGTAAAGAATTTTTCCGAGAACAAGAATCTGAAGTTACTTTGGCAGTAGGTAGTTGTATTCAAACAACTAAAAAAAATGAGAAAAATTTTCAAAAATTTCTAAAAATATTTTTTGGAAAACTTGAAAGTGGCCGTATTCCCGCGAAAGATAACGTTAACGTGTAGGTAATTCTTCACAATTTAAGAATCTGAAATGGATTTTCGAGTACTTCCGGAAATAACCGAAAAAAATGAAAACAAAATTTCCAAAAATTATTTTTGAAAAAAATTAAGCTAGTTCTGTTCCTGCAGAGAAAAATGCTATAATGTACAGAATTTTTTCCAGAACAAGAATCTGAAGTCATTTTACCAGTAGTTGTAATCAAACGCAAAAAAATTGGAACAAAATTTCCAAAATTACTTTTTTGAAAAACCTGAAAGTGGCTCTATTCACGCGAAATAAAACAGTAATGTTTAGGGAGTTTTTCATAATTTAAGAATCTAAAATCGCTCTTCGAGTACTTAACTGAAATAACCAAAAAAGTTAGAACAGAATTCTCAAAAACTTATATAAATTATATTTGAAAATGATGAAGGTAAATCTGTTCGTGCGGACCAAAATGCTAGTACGTAGAGAATTTTTCCCAGAACAAAAATCTGAAGTCACTTTGCTAATAGTTGTATTCCAAAACACTCAAAAAAATTGGCACAAAATTTCCAAAAATATTTTTTTAAAACCTGAAAGTAACCGCGAAAAATGAGAACTAAGTTTTCAAAAATTATTTTTGAAAAAGATGAAAGTACAGTGGACGCCGCTTAATGTGATCACTTTGGGACTTGGACAAATTGATCACACTAACCGGCTGATAATAATAAGCGAAAACCTCCAGCAGAGACAGTAAAACCTCGAAACAAAACAAAATCGTGAACAAGTAGTGTTTATTATGCTGTAGATGAAGGTACATAAACGTTAGAATTTATTTTAAATTTTGGTTACCATTCTTAGAAAGGAACACTCCGATTTGCTTTGGCTAAGAAATTCTTAAGGTAACCGCGACCTTACGCTGGTTCATCCATGATGGGAGCGATCATACTGTCTTAAGATCTCCAACTGCTTTGATAATATGTAAAGTGTTTAATCACACCGATAATAAGCTGAGATCTAGTCATTTCGAAGTGCTCATTTTTACATAAGTACTCTAATTTAAAACAGAAAAAATTCGTTCGTTCAAAAGACCAAAACGCACTGATTACGTAAAAGTGTCATTGATTGTGGTTGTACAAAGTGAGTAGTATAAGCGAATGTACTTTTTGAAAGCAATGAATATTCAATAAAACACAATACAAGTTTCAGTCGTCTCACTTCTCCAAAAAAGCAATTCCCGTTTGTATAAGAATTGCGAGATTGATCACAATAAGCGAAATATTGATCACAATAAACGGAAAAACTGTAATGCATTAGTATTGCGTGGGACCGTTCCAAGCCATTTTGATCACACTAAGCGGTTGATAACATTAACCGTGATCATATTAAGCGGCGTCTACTGTAGTTCTGTTCGTGTGGAAAAAAAATGCTAGTACGAAGAAAATTTTTCCCAGAACAAGAATATGTCACTTTGCCGGTAGTTGAATTCAAACAGTTCAAAAAAATTGGAACAAAAATTTCCAAAAATATTTTTTGAAAAATCCGAAGGTGACTTTATCCACGCAAAAGAAAACGGTAATGTGTAGGGAATTCTTCACAATTTAAGAATCTAAAATCGCTTTTCGAGTACTTACTGAAATAACCGACAACAATGGAAACAAAATTTTCAAAAATTGTCAATAATTCTTGAAAATGATGAAGGTAGTTCTGTTCGTGCGGAAAAAATGCTAGTATGTAGAAAATTATTCCCAGAACAAGAATCTGAAATCACTTTACCAGTCGTTGTATTCAACCAACTCAAAAAAATTGCAAAATTATTTCCAAAAATATGTTTTGAAAAATTCGAATGTGGCTCTTCACACGAAATTAGGTGTTAAGATGTAGTAAATTTTTCACAGATTAAGAATCTGTAATCGCCTTTCCAATACATATTGAAATAACCGAGAAAATTGAGAACAAAGTTTTCAAAAGTTTCTAAAAGTTATTTTTGAAAAAGATGAATATAGTTCTGTTCGTGCGGAAAAAAATTCCAGGACGAAGAGAATTTTTCCCGGAACAAGAATCTGAACTTACTTTGCCAGTAGTCGTGTTCAAACAGCTAAAAAAAAAATTAAACAAAAATTTCCAAAAATATTTTTTGAAAAACCTGAAAGCTCTATTCACGCGAAAGAAATCGGTAATGTGTCGGGAATTCTTCACAATTTAGGAATCTGAAATCGCTTTTCCAGTATTTACTGAAATAACGGAGAAAAATGAAAACAAAAAAATTCCAAAAATTATTTTTGAAAATGATGAAGGTAGTTCTGTTCGTGGGCAGAAAAATGCTAGTATGTAGAGAATTTTTCCCAGAATAAGAAAGTGAAGTTACTTTGTCAGTAGTTGTATTCAAATAACTCAAAAAAACGAAACAAAATTTTCAAAAACTTCCAAAAATATTTTTTAAAAAGCAAAAGAAAATGGTAATGTGTAGGGAATTTCTCACAATTTAAGAATGTGAAACCATTTTTCGAGTAGTTACTGAAATGATTGAGATAAATAAAAAAGTTTTCAAAATTTTCCAAAAATTATTTTCAAAAATGTTCAAGCTAGTTTTGTTCATGTGGAGAGAAATGCTACTATATACAGAATTTTTCGAAGTACAAGAATCTGGAGTCACTTTGCCGATAGTTGTATTCAAACAACTCAAAAAAATTGGAACAATATTTTCATAAATTTCCAAAAATATTTTTTGAAAAACCTAAAAGTTGCTCTATTTACGGGGAAGAAAACGGTAATGTGTAGGGAATTCTTCATAATTTAAAAATCTGAAATCGCTTTTCTAGTAGTTACTAAAATAACACAGAAAAATAAGAACAAAGTTTCCAAAATTTAAACTTCAAAAAAATTGCACCAAAATTTCCAAAAGTATGTTTTGAAAAATCCGAATGTGGCTCTATTCGCGCGAATTTAAGTGGTAATATGTACCAAATTCTTCGCAGATTAAGAATCACTAATCACTTGTCGAGTGTTTCCTGAAATAATCGAGAAAAATTAGAACAAAATTTTCAAAAATTTCCAAAAATTATTTCTGAAAATGTTGAAGGTAGTGCTCTACGTGTAGAGAAAAATGCTAATATGTAGAGAACTCTTCCCAGATCAGAAATTTGAAGTCACTTTGACAACAGTTATATTCAAACAACTCAAAAAACTTGGAACAAAATTTTCAAAAATTTCCAAAAATTATTTTTGAAAAACCTAAATGTGGCACTATTCACGTGTAAGAAAGTGGTTCTTCTCAGATTAAGAATCTGAAATCGATTTTCTAGTACTCACTGAAATAACCAAGAAAAATAAGAACACAGTTTTAAAAAATTTCCAAAAATTATTTTTGAAAATGTTGAAGGTACAAAAATGCTAATGCGTAGAGAATCATTCCCAGAACCAGAGTCTGAAGTCACTCCCAGTAGGTATATTAAAAAAACTCAAAAAAAATCGGGACAAAATTTTCCAAAATTTCCAAAAATATTTTTTCCAAACGATGGATTTGGTTCTATTCCCGCGAAAGAAAGTGATAGTACATAGAGTTCTTCACAAATTAAGAAGCTGAAATCGTTTTTCCAGTACTGAGATATTGAAATGAGAACAAAAATTTTAATTTTGACCAGTGGCGTATCATTTTTTGAAACGGGCATGAACATTAACTGCCAAAATCAAGCAACACAATATCATATAAAATATATAAAATATAATAAGTTACAAATTTCGTAAATATATAGTTTAACGCCAAGTAAGCTGTAGGTTTCGGCGTGTTGAGTTTCTCAATTTCAAGTGATAATTCAAGTCTATATTTTGCACATTCCCTCTAAAAATTTCAGACCAGGTACTAAAAATGAGAAATTAATAAAGTGTACTCATAACCATAAAATACTAACCAAGACTTTTCTACACGATACACAATACCATAATATTCCTTATTAAGTTTTACCACGATTAGGGGCTGCTGGTTGCTATGACTTGAAAGAATCAATTCCGTCACGATTTCGCATTTGATATTTTGGTTTAATAAATCTTTGTAGAGCTAAAAGTAACAACAATAAGTACAATAATAATAACTAGTTTATTTTTCTCACCGGAATCGCTACGGACTTTTCATCAGCAACTATAACTACATCCACACGTCTGGCGCACTTGTCCGGAGTCAACAATTTAACTATATTGTCCACGTTAAAGGATATTTCACAGGCCGAACAAAACAATTCTTTGCCTCGATTTCCACAACACCGTCTAATCACAGAGTTGAATCGACCACCTGTGGCTAGAACAGTGTTTAAACAATATCCGTAGGTTATTTTGAACATGAGGCCTTTGGAATGTTTTTCGCTCATAAGTAGAGGGTTCAAAAATATATTCTCCACTCTCTGAAACACAACTTTAAATTTCCCGTCACAAAATTATAAAAGTGAAAAATTTACAATTCCGAACTTTTCTGCATTCGCTGTTACTGCAGCGATCTGACCAAACGCAATTTTAAGCCCCTTATTGTTAACTCCAACGAAACTGTCATTTCCTCTGTTGGCGCTAATCATCGAACGAATTTCTCTTTCAGCATCTTGAATATTAAAACCTGAAAACATCTTGACGAGGAAATCCGCCACGTCGTTGTTGCAGTGGAATCGACAAAACATTTTTATCAGAAACAGCGTTTTATGCTACAAATGAATTGTTTTTAATAAATTCGGGTAAACGTGGAACTATACCGAAGCAGTTAGGACGATATTGACGAAAATACCAGCCAGAGCGTCGCTAATTCTACAGTGTTGTAAAATGGCTGAAAACATCAAATGGTGGTTGAGGACGAATCGAACTCGGTGTATCACATCTTCCGAGAAAATTTTCTCGCAAACTTCGCTTCCGATAAATAACATTTCGGCGTCCAGCACGTGGTCGTCTGGTTCGGGGGTTACAGCTTGGAAAGCGCACTCTTGGACCTCGTTGGGCCAGAAGTGGCCTTCTGTGAACACCTTTTCGGTGGAATAGCGCCGGATTTTGTTGATTTTGTGTTTTGCGATGTGGTAGGACAAAGCGAGTCTGGAACAAGGGCGGATCAAGGATAAGCCCCGCCTCTTGACACATACGTCGGGAAGGCGGGGCTTGCAATAACGTATCATCCGCTGCAAATGTTTTGAGCCTATGGGCGGATCGTTTTTGCCTGCCCTCACCGATGAAGGCGGTCCAAATCCTTCAAGGGCAGAATTTGCAGGTAGGCTCAAACTACAACGAAATTCACATTTTACCCTATAAAATTTTATTGACAATAACGGGACGGACAGTAGTTACATTTGGTAAGAAATATTTATGGTTCACACCAGTTCTCTCGAATTTGTCGGAGAAGATTTAGCAGGTAGTTGTTCCCATAAAATAATGGTCACTTTCGTTCGTGAGTAACGATCGTCCGGACATGAATTATTTTGCTTTCTAACATCTTTCGACCAATTGTTCCCTATAAAAAAATTTCATCACTTTTTCAAATAAAATACTCAAAAAAAAACGATATTGTCGTTGAGTGACATGTAACTGGCATAATAATAAAAACGTGCCATTTTTGTTAACTGATATTTTTTTCATAAATGTCGCAAAATTATTAAATTTGTCTAATCATCCCCACCAATAATGTGATGACGTCACTTCAAATTTATGCATAGTAAATGGGTTTTAAATTGTATACAGTATACTATCCTCAAAGATATTTGGCGTTTATGACTTCACACCAATTTGACTCCCATTATAATTCAATAGGCCGTCACAACCGGATGTCTTAAACCGATACCTACCTGAAAATACCTTTTCTAGTAAAAGCACAGGGCAGGACTGAGTTTTGCATTTACCGACAACTGCGCCTTTCGAGTTTTTTATTTTAAGTAAAAACAAAGTAACTTTGTACTCAATCATTTTTTATTACAGCACAACTATTTACTTATTAACTACTACTGCTTATTTATTGATCGAAATAGTCACTGTCATCATCACTCGACTCTTCTAAATTAATAATTAACGGTGTTATCAACCGTGCCCTGTACTGGTCTTCTTCTTTTGTGGAATGTCGTACACAATTGGCCCACATTTCGGCAGTTATTTTGGAAGCTTCTTCCCTAATTATGTCAATTGTTGCACTACTAAATTTTGGTGCCGTATTATTCCTTCTTATATTATTTTTCATTTGCGACCAGATTAGTTCGATGGGGTTAAATATACAATGGTACGGCGGAAGTGTGATGTAGAGAGCGGATTTCGGTCGGGTAGACAAGGCCAAACTCGGTACGGCTCGTACGGGATGGGAATTCATTGCAGTTACGGGCTGCACTTCGTTTATTTGAGATTAGAATACCGCTGATTCGTTGCACTCTGCTGTTAATTCCAGTTCTCATTTACTTAGCCGTTTGATTAATAAATCGTTAATTGTACTTATGGAATAAGTGATATTCAAATTCAGTGATTATCTATCACCCGCCACTGAGTCCCGGCGATCCAGCGCGTCCCCACCTATAATCGTGACGTAGCCCGACAGAAATCCGCTGTCTACTAATCACCCTAAATCCACGATCTCGCGCCATAGCATCTATTTTATATTGTTTCTCAAATTTTCGAGTGTGTAACACTTCTAATAATTGTGTCTTTGTGTAATTTTCTTCAAAGTATAAATCATGTTCCGTAAGGAAATTTTGAAATTTGAAAATTTTAACAAACAAAATTACTCTGAGTCCGGTCCTTCGCGTCTCGACCGTCCCTGGCACGTAGAAAAGGTCTTTTCAGGTAGGTATCGGTGAGCGGGTTTAAGACATCCGGTTGTGACGGCCTATTGAATTATAATGGGAGTCAAATTGGTGTGAAGTCATAAACGCCAAATATCTTTGAGGATAGTATAACATAGTCCTACACATGTAGTTTACGACTCCGTGTTGAGTTTTTATCCAAAACGTCCAGATTTTTGGAAAAAAAATCAAAATTATAAAACAATATTTTGCAATTTAATTTTGAATTTGCAAAATCGAATACTTTGAAATCTTGCAGATGTTTTAAAATCACGATAAACATGATACATTTTTAATTAAAATATATTTGCTTATCCCCTCTAAAAAATTTCTGACGACACATCAAAATTTTGCAGAATAAATCCTATCTTAAATGTATAAAATATGATGAGTTTTATACTTGTGATTTATCACTGCATTAATATTTTTTAGATTTGGTTATACAGGGTGTCTCAAAAAAGTTAATGACTGAGTCAATTTATTTTATTGAAGAAATCAAGAATAGCAAAACTGAATACTTTGAAATATTGTAGATGTTTTGAAGTTTTTTTAAGCATGGTAACTTTTTCGAAAATTTGATTAACCAAATATGCGCAAAATCAAAAATCGGAAAAACTGAAATTCACTAATGCAAAAAACAGAAAATCGAAAAATACAAATCGTAAAAATCGAAAATCTAAAAATGGCTAATCAAAAAATCGAAAATTCAATGAATCAAATACCTAGGTCGATCGAAAAGTGGAAATTCACAAACCTCAAAAATCGAAAAATCGAAAATTGAAAAACGGGAAAACCAAAAAATCCAAAAGTCAAAAATTTGTAATATTGAAAATTAAAAAAATCGAAAACAAGAATAAAAAAAATCGGAAATTGAAATAATCAAAATATATAAAGTAAAAAAAATTGCAAAGCCTAAAAACTGAAACGAACAGAAAAATCGAAAAAGCAAAAAATTGGAAAAACAAAAATTCGAAAAATCTAAAATCGAAAAAGTGGAAAATGGAAAATCTGAATAAAGAAACTTGAAAATTCTGAAAATTGGAAAATCGAAAACCAAAAAATCGGAAAATAACATAATTGAAGTCTAACAGTTGAGAATGGAAAAATTGAAAAACCGAAAATTCTAAAAATCGACAATGGACAAATTGAAAATCGCTAAATTTAAATTGAAAAACTGAACATAGAAAAATCTATGAATTGAAAAATCGAAAATTCGACTACTCAAATTTTCTAAAAATCGAAAAATCATAAAACTGAAAAATCCAAAATTCTAATCATCGGAAGTCTGAAAACTGAAAATCAAAAATTCTGAAAAGCGGAAAATAGAATGTCTAAAAATTTAAAAGAAAGAAAATTGAAGTCTAAAACCGAAAAATGGAAAAATTAAAAATCAAAAATTCGAAAAATCAAAACCGAAAAATTCAAATATTTAAAAAGAAAATCGAAAAATCAAAAATCTGAAAATTGAAACTAGAAAATTTGGAAAATCGAAAAGTAAAAAAATTGAAGTCTAAAAGCTGAAAAATGGAAAACTGAACAATCGAAAATTCGAAAATCAAATATCGAAAAATCGAAAATTTGATAGGTAAATCATATATGCGAAAAACAGAAAATCTGAAAATGCAAAACTGGAAAATCAAAAATCTAAAAATGGAAAAACCGAAAATCGAAAATTCAATGAATCTAATACGTAGGTCGATCGAAAAACTGGAAATTCACAAATCTGAAAAATCTAAAATTTGCAAGATTGAAAAACCGAGAATTGAAAAATCAAAAAACCGAAAAATGGAAAAATCAAAAATCGAAAAATAGGAAAATTAATAATATTGAAAACTTTAAAAGTCGACAATTCAAAAATCAAAAAACTGGAAAGTAAAATAATCGAAAAATCGAAAAGTAAACAAACTGCAAAGCCTAAAAAGTGACGAACAGAAAAATCGAAAAATCGTAAAATCAAAAAGTGGAAAATCGAAAACTGGAAATTGAAAAATCGAAGATTGGAAAATCGAAAAATCGAAAATCGGAATATCGAGAATCGACAAATTAAAAAACCGAAAAATCGAAAAATTAAAAAATCGGAAATCGAAAAATGAAAAAAAAACGAAAATTCAAAAATCGAATATCCGAAACTAAAATAATAGAAAAGTGGAAAAGTAAAAATTGCAAAGTCTCAAAACTGACGAACAGAACAATCGAAAAATAAAAAAAAATCGAAAAATATCTAAACATGGAAAATTGAAAAATCGGAAAATGGAAAAACCGAAAAATCGAAAATCGAAAACTCGAAAAATCGAAAATTCGATGAAACAAATACTCGAAAAAGCGAAAAGTAAAAAAATTGCAAGGCCTAAAAATTGAAAAATCAAAAAATCGAAAAAATGAAAATCGAAAAAACGACGATCGAAAAAAAATCAAAAAATCGAAAAGTGGAAAATCGGAAAGAAACAAAATTGAAATCTAAAAGCTGCAAATTGCGGAACCATAAAAACTGAAACAAACAGAAAAATCGAAAAACCACAAAAGCGGAAAAACGAAAATCGAAAAATCGCAAATCGAAAAATCGTAAAGTCAGAAAATGGAAAATCGAATAATCGAAAGTTAAAAAATCGAAGGTCGAAAAATAAAACAACCGAAAAATCGAAACATTTTATGATTAATGGAAAATCGAAAAATCTAGAATAGAAGAATTAAAAAATCGGAAAATTGAAAAATCGGAAATCGAAGGATTAAAAACGTAAAATCGAGAATTCAAAAATCAAAAAAAATCGGAAAGTAAAATATAATCGAAAAATGCAAAAAAATTGCAAAGTCTAAAAACTGACCAACAGAAAAATCAAAAAATCTTAAAATGGAAAGACGAAAAATCGAAAATTGAAAGAATGGCAAATTAAAAAATCGAAAATTGTATTTTATATTGTACACTTTGATCTCTGTAACTGGGTTTTTACCTGTAGAATGATCAATAAAGATTAAAGATTAAAGAAACATCGAAAAATCAAAAAAACGAAAAATTCAAAAATCGAATAATCCGAAACTAAAATAATAGAAAAGTGGAAAAGTAAAAATTGCAAAGTCTCAAAACTGACGAACAGAACAATCGAAAAATAAAAAAAAAATCGAAAAATATCTAAACATGGAAAATCAAAAAATCGAAAATCGGAAAATGGAAAAACCGAAAAATCGAAAATCGAAAACTCGAAAAATCGAAAATTCGATGAAACAAATAATAGAATTCAAAAATCAAAAAAATCGAAAAGTAAAATATAATCGAAAAATGCAAAAAAATTGCAAAGTCTAAAAACTGACCAACAGAAAAATCAAAAAATCTAAAAATGGAAAGACGAAAAATCGAAAATTGAAAGAAAGGCAAATTAAAAAATCGAAACATCGAAAAATCAAAAAAACGAAAAATTAAAAAATCGAAAAATGAAAAAACTGAAAGCTCGAAAAATCAAAATACCGCAAATTTGAAAAATCAGAAAATTAGAAAGTAATAAAATCGAAAAGTTGATAGAAAAATGGAAACTGAAAAATCTAATTCGATGAAACTGTTGGTCGAAAAAACGAAAAATCGAAAATCGAAGTGACCTTTTTTTGAGACAGGCTGTATAAGTAAATCTAAAAAATATTACTGCAATGATAAATCACAGGTATAGACTCATCATATCAAATTTGACGATGACGTCATGCATTTTTTGGCGAAGATAAGCAAATACATTTTGATCGTGGCTTTGAAAGTATTCTTCGACTTTCGTTCCATTTCAAAATTTACTCTTTGTACATTTCAGTGGTCACAACGAGTTTACTAGATGTCGGAAGTACTAAATTATTCTATCGGTCGAAGAACGTTCGGTCCGGTCTTACACCTCGACCCAAGAGAGACCGCAAGTTTATAAACTGAACATTTTTTTTGCTTTTTGAAATGTACTACACTTAAAAAAATGTCCGTGACTTACTTTAATGTGAATTTTATAACTATGGTCGGCACAATTAGACCTAATATTAGTGTGATTTTGAGCATATTCTCGATGTTATTAGAGCAGGACAGGTTTTTTTTCTCTACCTAATTGACAAGATTTCAAAGTATTCAGTTTTGCAATTCTTGATTTCTTCAATAAAATAAATTGACTCAGTCATTTTTTTTTTTAGTCACCCTGTATGTATAAACAAATCTAAAAAATATTAATGGAATGGTAAATCACAAGTATAGACTCACCATATTCTGAACATTTTAGATAGGGTATTTATAAAATTAAAACTAATTCAGAGTAAGTATTTATAAAATTAAAACTAATTCAGGGTAAGAATTTGGTCAACACGTAAATTTCGTTGTAGTTTGAGCCTACCTACAAATTCTGCCCTTGGACGATTTGGACCGCCTCCTTCGGTGACGACCGGCAAAAATGATCCGCCCATAGGCTCAAAACATTTGCGTGCGATTGTACTACCTGGAGGTGTTGGCGATGGATATGGAATTACCACTCGTGTTAAGCAGAGTCGTCAAGTTATCCGGGAAGTTGTTTAAAGGCGGCAGAAACGTCGGCATCGGGATATTGCGGCCTCCATGCAACTCAAAAACCTAAAAGTGGGTAAAATTCCAAGTATTATTTTTGTAACGACTTACTTTAACTGCAGTTGTCATAAAGAAGTTTGCCAGATCTACGCGACTATTCTTAGTCGATTTAAGCATTGTGTTAAAAATTTGGAACTGTTCGCTCGGTACTTTCTGGCTTCGTCGAATCATCGCTCTCAAGTCTTCGATAGATTTTTCCGATTTTAGAATCTCTAGAATTTGGTCACAAGTGGGTCTTTCGCGGGAGTCCTGGTGGAGAAGGCTTCTGCAAACAAAATACAAAATTCGGAAGACTTATTCCACACGTACTGACTTAAGTAAAGAGCGCTTTTTGTCGCTTAAATACGGCATCGTGTTTAGGCGTTCCGACGTTAGCGGGAAGAGTTTAAACTTCTCCATTTGGGTCATCGGTTGCGAACACATTTCGAAATAAACGACACCTGAAACACTTGCATAAAATTTACAATACATCACGAACGAAAATTTACCCAAACTGTAAATATCGGCTTTTATGTTGCAATAAGGTCGGTTAAAAAACTCCGGTGCTATGTAAATGGTGGTCCCACAAGGTGCCGTCAATGACGCGCACGCTACGTCAGCCTCGAAAATCTCCAGTTCGTTCTTCAGAGAAATCTGCTTCGACAGACCAAAATCCCCGATTTTGATCACGTCCCCGCAAGTCAGGAAAATATTTTCGGGTTTCAAGTCGCGATGGATGATCTTGTTTTGGTGCGTGTGGGCGAGACCTTCGCAAATTTCTTGAAAATATTTCGTCAGTTTTGCTTCTTTTTGGTAGAGATTGTCGTCGATGGCGTCCCTCAGGGTGCGTTTGTCGCACAGTTCCATTTGTATGAACAAGTAGTTGAGTTCTTTGATTTCTTCGGCTTCTTGGAAGACTATCGCACAATCGTCGTCGGTGCAGTTTCCTTCCTCTTCGTCGTCGTCTTCGTCAAATTCGTCGCTTCTGCTGAGGTACCCGTTTTGGTCGAATTTTTCGATCTCGGCACTTATAGACTTGAAACAAAAGGGTGAATGTGGCGACTAAATAGCACGTTAATGGTACCTCTTCGCTCTCGCTATCCAGGTTGAATTTTTTGTACTCTGCTAAAGGCACTTTGGCGGTTTCCGCCCACGAGTTAAAGTAGCGGACTATATTCGGGTGACTGAGGCGCGCCAACATGTTGGCTTCTCGGCAAGTTTTCTTTAAACTGTCTGCGTCGGATTGATAGCGGATCATTTTGATAGCAACCTGGGTTTTGTCGAATTTGTGCGTAGCCTAACAACAATAAAAATGCGGTAGATTGTTTTTCCGTACGCTTGCACACAAGCTTTTAGCAAAAAATGAGTTACCTTAATAATCTCGCCAAACCCTCCTTTTCCTAGGGACTCCCCCAAAACAAAGTCTTGAAGTAGCCTTGACACATACTTTGCGGCCTGGAACGACTCTTCGTCCTTGGTGCTTTTGTTGCTAAGTGTCGAAACGGTTCTAAGCAACATTTTTCTAACTCGCAACTAAATATTTTGTTTATCTTTTTGTTTTGTTCGATAACACCGGATTCCGGAATTTATTCTTTTTGTTACTAATTCTTTATGTCCACTCTATTGCTTTGCGTTATGCACGCCCGTTCGCTTCCACTCTCACTCCCTCACTAAACAATAAACAAGTACCGACTTGCATCACACTGCGCTTTATCGCTCTTCCCTGCTTCTTATCTGTTCGGTATAGATAAGGTGCATTTACGTCGCTCCTTTTCTCTCTCGTGAGATTATCGATTTCCATCTTGCTCGGATTCTTCTAGAAGGGGTATCCGAAAAAGCACGAGCGACGACGAGGATTTTGGGTGTTTCACCTCCTAGAAATTGCAGATTTTCAGTGTTGCTGTTCAGGTTTTCATTTTCATGCATTCAGATTAAAATATTGTTATGGTAACTAATTAAGTGATTACAGCTGAAATGATGTCCTCAACAGCTGGGATGGAAGAAATCTGTAATTAATTTTGTCTAGACAGTGTATTATGGGTTGCCTACCCAGCACACTGGAAATCGTTGATTTATGACGGTAGGTTTGAGCCGATAACCAAAAATACAAAATGAATTACAACATAGCAACATACATGCGAAACGCTAAAAATTTGTTTGTTTATCCGCTTCAAAAATTTGATAAAGTCGTCTCAAAATTTTGGTGGATAAATCTTCTCTAAAATGCACAAAGTACTCTGAGTTCACATTTACCTATGGTCTCTAAATAGAAACAGAAAAATCAAAAACCTGAAAAACGGAAAACTTCAAAAATCGAAAAACTGAAGAATTGAAAGATGGAAACGTAAGGTCGAGAAATCAAGAAATGGGAAAATAAAAAAAAACGAAATCGACAAACTGAAGAGTCGAATTGCAAAAATAATAAACCTGAACCATTGAAAAAGTGGGAAATTGAATCGAGAAATCGAAAATTTTAATAATAATCAAGAAATTGAAGGATCGATAAATTTAAAAATCCCAAACACTTCCCAAACTAAAGTGATTTCTAAAGGAAGGTCGAAAAATTTAAAATCGAAAAATCAGGAAATAGAAAACTCGAAAAACTGAGAAATTGAAGTAGGCCAAAATCAAAAAATGAAAAGTTTAAAAATTTACAATTAAAAAAATCGAAAAATTGGAAAACAAAAAAATAAAAAAATTTAAAAAACGAAAAATTAAAAATATTAAAAATCGTAAAATTTAAAAACCGAATAACGAAAAATAGAGAAATCGAAACTCTCAAACTTTTAAAATCGGATAACTGAAAAATCGAAATATCGAAAAACTGGAAAAACGAGAAATCAAAAGATCAAGAAATCGTGGAGCCGAAAAGTAGAACAATTGAGAAACCGAAATAGGCCAAAATCTAAAAATCGAAAACTAAAAAATTGAACAATTTATAAATTGAGAAATCGACAATCAAAATATCGAAAAATCCAAATCTCGATAAATCGAGAAATCAAAAAAATTAAAAATTCGAAAAATTGAAAAATTGAGAGATTGAAAGATCAAAACAACGAGAAATCGAAAAGTGATGAAGTCGAAAAATCGAAAAATAGAGAAATCGACAAAAAAGAAGTTAAAAGTTGAAAAACTGGAAAAGTGGAAAAATCAAAAAACGAAAAAATGGAGATAAATAAAAACAAAGTTTTCAAAATTTTCCAAAAATTATTTTCAAAAATGTTCAAGCTAGTCTTGTTCATGTGGTGAGAAATGCTACTATATACAGAATTTTTCGAAGTACAAGAATCTGGAGTCACTTTGCCGATAGTTGTATTCAAACAACTCAAAAAATTGGAACAATATTTTCATAAATTTCCAAAAATATTTTTCGAAAAACCTGAAAGTGGCTCTATTTACGGGGAAGAAAACGGTAATGTGTAGGGAATTCTTCATAATTTAAAAATCTGAAATCGCTTTTCTAGTAGTTACTAAAATAACCCAGAAAAATGAGAACAAAGTTTTCAAAATTTAAACTTCAAAAAAATTGCACCATAATTTACAAAAGTATATTTTGAAAAATCCGAATGTGGCTCTATTCGCGCGAAATTAAGTGGTAATATGTACCAAATTCTTCGCAGATTAAGAATCACTAATCACTTTTCGAGTGCTTCCTGAAATAATCGAGAAAAATTAGAACAAAATTTTCAAAAATTTCCAAAAATTATTTCTGAAAATGTTGAAGGTAGTGCTCTACGTGTCGAGAAAAAAGCTAACATGTAGAGAACTCTTCCCAGATCAAAAATCTGAAGTCACTTTGAGAACAGCTGTATTCAAACAACTCAAAAAACTTGGAACAAAATTTTCAAAATTTTCCAAAAATTATTTTTGAAAAACCTAAATGTGGCACTATTCACGTGTAAGAAAGTGGTTGTATGTAACAGATTCTTCTCAGATTAAGAATCTGAAATCGATTTTCTAGTACTCACTGAAATAACCAAGAAAAATAAGAACACAGTTTTAAAAAATTTCCAAAAATTTTTATGTTGCAATAAGGTCGGTTAAAAAACTCCGGTGCTATGTAAATGGTGGTCCCACAAGGTGCCGTCAATGACGTGCACGCTACGTCAGCCTCGAAAATCTCCAGTTCGTTCTTCAGAGAAATCTGCTTCGACAGACCAAAATCCCCGATTTTGATCACGTCCCCGCAAGTCAGGAAAATATTTTCGGGTTTCAAGTCGCGATGGATGATCTTGTTTTGGTGCGTGTGGGCGAGACCTTCGCAAATTTCTTGAAAATATTTCGCCAATTTTGCTTCTTTTTGGTAGAGATTGTCGTCGATGGCGTCCCTCAGGGTGCGTTTGTCGCACAGTTCCATTTGTATGAACAAGTAGTTGAGTTCTTTGATTTCTTCGGCTTCTTGGAAGACTATCGAACAATCGTCGTCGGTGCAGTTTCCTTCCTCTTCGTCGTCGTCTTCTTCGTCAAATTCGTCGCTTCTGCTGAGGTACCCGTTTTGGTCGAATTTTTCGATCTCGGCACTTATGGACTTGAAACAAAAGGGTGAATGTGGCGACTAAATAACACGTTAATGGTACCTCTTCGCTCTCGCTATCCAGGTTGAATTTTTTGTACTCTGCTAAAGGCACTTTGGCGGTTTCCGCCCACGAGTTAAAGTAGCGGACTATATTCGGGTGACTGAGGCGCGCCAACATGTTGGCTTCTCGGCAAGTTTTCTTTAAACTGTCTGCGTCGGATTGGTAGCGGATCATTTTGATAGCAACCTGGGTTTTGTCGAATTTGTGCGTAGCCTAACAACAATAAAAATGCGGTAAATTGTTTTTCCGCACGCTTGCACTCAAGCTTTTAGCAAAAAATGAGTTACCTTAATAATCTCGCCAAACCCTCCTTTTCCTAGGGACTCCCCCAAAACAAAGTCTTGAAGTAGCCTTGACACATACTTTGCGGCCTGGAACGACTCTTCGTCCTTGGTGCTTTTGTTGCTAAGTCTCGAAACGGTTCTAAGCAACATTTTTCTAACTCGCAACTAAATATTTTGTTTATCTTTTTGTTTTGTTCGATAACACCGGATTCCGGAATTTATTCTTTTTGTTACTAATTCTTTATGTCCACTCTATTGCTTTGCGTTATGCACGCCCGTTCGCTTCCACTCTCACTCCCTCACTAAACAATAAACAAGTACCAACTTGCATCACACTGCGCTTTATCGCTCTTCCCTGCTTCTCATCTGTTCGGTATAGATAAGGTGCATTTACGTCGCTCCTTTTCTCTCTCGTGAGATTATCGATTTCCATCTTGCTCGGATTCTTCTAGAAGGGGTATCCGAAAAAGCACGAGCGACAACGAGGATTTTAGGTGTTTCACCTCCTAGAAATTGCAGATTTTCAGTGTTGCTGTTCAGGTTTTAATTTTCAGGCATTCAGTTTAAAATATTGTTATGGTAATTAATTGAGTGATTACAGCTGAAATGATGTTCTCAACAGCTGGGATGGAAGAAATCTGTAATTAATTTAGTCTTGACATTGTATTATGGGTTGCCTACCCAGCACACTGGAAATCGTTGATTTATGACGCTAGGTTTGAGCCGGTAACCAAAAATACAAAATGAATTTACAACATAGCAACATACATGCGAAACTCAAAAAATTTGTTTGTTTATCCGTTTCAAAAATTTGATAAAGTCATCTCAAAATTTTGGTGGATAAATCTTCTCTAAAATGCACAAAGTACTGTGAGTTCACATTTGCCTATGGTCTCTTAGTGTATGTTTTTTTCTTTTTTTTGTCACTTTCTTGTGGCCCTTTTTTTGGGCATTTTTTCGAATTCCATTTGGAGTTTTTTTCGTCGTGTATATTGGTCACACTGTGTTTATTTTGTCGTCTTATTTTGGCACATTTTTTATTTCTTTTTCGATTTGTTTTTTTTCTTACCAATTTTGATTCATTAAGATTTTCGATTTTTAGTTTTTCAATCGTTTTATAAATTTTTCGATCTTTCCACCATATCTTTTTTTTTAATTCCAATTTTTTCTATTTTTAAATGTTTCAGTTTTTGAATTTTTTATGTTTTTCGACTTTCCGATTTTACAATTTTTTGATTTTTAATTTTTTCCATATTTTATCTCTTCAGTTGTTTAAATTTTTGATTTTTCAATTTTACAATTTTTTGATTTTACGATTTTTTGATGTTGCGATTTCTAACATCTCGGTTGTTATTTAAAAACAAAATCGAAAAAAATCGAAAAATTAAAAAGTCAAAAAATAGAAAAATCAAAAACCTGAAAAATGGAAAACTTAAAAAATCAAAAAACTGAAAAATCGAAACATTGAAAAGTCGAAGTCGAGAAATAAGAAACTAAAAAAAAATCGGTTAATCAGAAAATTGAGAAATCAAACACCTAAAATTTACAAAATCGAGAATTTGAAAAATTATAAATCTGGAATGACGAAACATTGGCAAATCGAAAATTTTTAAAATCGAAAAATTGGAAAGTCCAATTCTAAAAATCGGGAAATCGAACCATCACAAATTCAAAAAGTGAAACATCCAGAAATCAAGAAACAGAAAAGTCGAAACATCGAAATCTTAAGAAATTGAAATTGGGCAAAATGGAAAAATAAAAAATTGAAAAATTGAAAACTTCAAGTCATAAAATTGAAAAACCGATAAATCGAGAAGTAGAAAAACCGTAAGATCGAGAAAGAGAAACATAAAAAAAATGAAAAAACTAAAATTTAAAAGTTCGAAAAATTTAAAAATCGAAAAACTGAACAACATCGAAATCTCGACAAAACGGGAAATCGAAAAATTAAAAAATTGAGAAGTCGAAAAATAGAAAAATCAAAAACCTGAAAAACGGAAAACTCAAAAAATCGAAAAACTGAAGAATTGAAAAACGGAAAAATCGAAACATTGAAAGGTCGAGAAGTAAGAAACAAGAAAATAAAAAAAATCGATTAATTGAAAAATTGAAGAATTGAAAAATGAAGAAACCAGAAATTTAATAACCAAGAAATCGAAAATTTTAATAAAAATCAAGAAATACAAAAATTTTAATGATCAAGAAATTGAACAATCGATAAATTAAAAAATCTCATCCGTTCCAAAACTGAAGTGACGAAACAAAGGAAAGTCGAAAAATTTAAAAAGGGAAAATCAAAACATCGAAAATTCAAAAAATAAACATCGAGAAATCAGGAAATAGAAAAATAGATAAATCGAAAAATTAAGAACCTGAAATAGGCAAAATCGAAAAATTGAAATATCGAATCGAAGTAGTGATAAAACGAAAAATCTAAAATTAAAATAATTGAAAAATTAAAATATCGGAAAAATTGAAAAACCGAGAAATCAAACATCCAAAATTGAAAAAATCGTAAAATTGAAGAATCGAGGATTATTTGAAAAGTCCAAAACTGAAATGAAGGACATTGAGAAATAAAAAAATTTTAAAATCGAAAAATTAGAAAATCGAAAAGTCTAAAAATTGGGAATTCGAAACATCAAAAATTCAAAAATTGGAGCATGGAGAAATCAAGAAACACGAAAGTCCAAAAATCCAAAAATTAAGAAATTGAAATTGGCCAAAGTGGAAAAATTAACAACTGGAAAATTGAAAATTTTAAAATTAAAAAAAATTGATAAATTGAAAGATCTAAAAATTTTAAGAGTGAAAAATCGAAAATTTGAAAAACCGAAAAATCTAGAACCGAGTAGTAGAAAAACCGTAAGATCGAATTATAGAAACATCAAAAAACTGAAAAATCAAAAATTTAAAAATCGAAAAATTGGACCATACTGAGATCTCCACAAAATTGGGAAAAACGGGAAACTTAAAAAATCGATAAACTGAAGAATTGAAAAACTGAGAAATCGAATCATTGAAAGGTTGAGAAGTCAAGAAATAAGAAAATAAAAAAAATGGATTAATCGAAAAATTCAGAAATCGAAAAATGAAAAAATCAAAAATTTTAATAATGAAGAAATTGAAGAATCGATAAATTAAAAAATCTCAACACTTCCAAAACTGAAGTGACGAACCAAAGTACGGGAAACCGAAAAATTTAAAAAGGAAAAATCGGGAAATCAGGAAATAGAAAAGTAGAGAAATCGAAAAATTGAGACATTGAAATAGGCTAAATTGAAAAATTAAAATATCGAAAAAATTAAGAACCAAAAAACTGAAAAATCGAAAAGTCGAAAAACAAAAGCATAGAAATCTAATGTCCAAAATTTAACAGAATCGGAAAATTGAAGAATCGAGAATTTGAAAAATTCTAAAACTGAAATGACGAAACATTGGCAAATCGAAAAGTCTAAAAATCGGTAAATCGAAATATCAAAAATTCAAAAAGAGAAATATCGAAAAATCGAAATTGGCCAAAATCAAAAAATTAAGAATTGAAAATTGGAAATTTTGAAATTAAAAAAAAATGATAAATTGAAAGATCTAAAAATTTAGAAAGCGAATAATCAAAAATTTTAGAAGTCGTGAAAATGAAAAACCGAAAACACGAGAAGTGGAAAAATTGTAAAATCGAGAAATAAAAACATGAAAAAACTAAAAGATCTAAAATTAAAAAATTTGAAAAATTAAAAACCTGAAAAACGGAAAACTTCAAAAATCGAAAAACTGAAGAATTGAAAAATTGAGAGATGGAAACATTGTAAGGTCGAGAAATCAAGAAATGGGAAAATAAAAAAAAAACAAAATTCACAAACTGAAGAGTCGAATTGAAAAATAGTAAACCTGAACCATTGAAAAAGTGGGAAATTGAATCGAGAAATCGAATATTTTAATAACAATCAAGAAATTGAAGGATCGATAAATTAAAAAATCCCAAACACTTTCCAAACTAAAGTGATTTCTACAGGAAAGTCGAAAAATTTAAAATCGAAAAATCAGGCAATAGAAAAGTCGAAAAACTGAGAAATTGAAGTAGGCCAAAATCAAAAAATGAAAAGTTTACAAATTTACAATTAAAAAAATTGAAAAATTGAAAAACAGAACAATAAAAAAAATTAAAAAACGAAAAGTCGAATATATTAAAAATCGTAAAACTGAAAAACAGACAATCCTAAACCAAAAAGTAGAAAAATCGAAAGATAAAAAACTGAAAAATCTAAAACTTAAAAATTCGAAAAATTGAGAGATTGAAAGATCAAAAGAACGAAAGATATCGAACTAGAAGAATATAAAAAATAAAAATTTGTTACCTTTGTGAAAATGTGTTTTCCATAGAAAACCTGAAAGTAAAAGGTCATGTTCACTACCCTGGAAAATATAGAGGAGCTGCTTGTAGAAAATGCAATTTGAAATATAGACAACCATTGTTTATTCCAATTTTGTTTCATAAAAATGTATTTCTTTCAGTAAAATTTTAAGAATAAATGATAATGGATATATCGAATTGAGGTTTATCGATTCATTTAGATTTTTAGCGAGTGGCCTAGACAACTTGTCATCTAATTTGGAATCAAGTCAGTTAAGAGAAATAATTAAATACTTTCCAAATCATGAATTAGATGTATTATTGAGGAAAGAAAAAAGTAAGATAATTTGAAAAGGAATATATCCCTATGAATACATGGAGACTTTTGAGAAATTTTCTGAAACAAAACTTCCATCAATAGATAAATTTTATTTTTCGCTCACAAAAGAAGGAATTTCTCAAGAAGAATTCAAACATGCAGTGAAAGTATGGAAATATTTTAAAATTAAAAACTTGGGTAAATGGTATGATTGATCCTTAAAACTAGATGTTTTGCTATTAACTGATGTATTTGAAAATTTAGAGATTTATGTTTGGAAGAGTTTTAAAGAAAATTTTAATGGATCTTCATCATTCTGATGAAAGTAAAGTTAGCATCAGGTATTTAGAAAATTTTGAGGAGAAAACACTGCAAGATAATGGAAACAGAGAAACATTAATAAAAACAACTGTAGAGGCTAGCTTTGAATGTTAAAATTATTCTCTTTTAGTTATGTAGCCTTATAGTTAGTATACATTTCGCTGATTTAAAGATAGTTTGAGAGTGTACATTGTAGTGGAAAATAATGTAATTTTTACTGCCCTTAATTTTTGATAAAATTATAAATGTCTACTTGAGTATTTTTTAATATTTCATTAAACCGGGACTTGACGTTATGTACATAATCTTCGATAAGTTAAGAAAAATAAGTTGAAAAAAAAACTATTATTATTTATATCTTCAATGAAAATTATAACTATAATATTATAAGTAAAAAGCATCTTTTAATTAACTGCCAAAATCAAGCAGCACAATATCATATAAAATATATAAAATATAATAAGTTACAAATTTGGTAAATATATAGTTTAACACCAAGTAAGCTCTAGTTTTCGGCGTGTTGACTTT